CCGTCTTGGACCATCCCGCAACAGTTCCGGGGTTGTGGGTTAGAGGCCTCTTGGAAGTGAGCTTGGAATTCGTGGGAGGTCTCCCGGGGTCTCTTGCAGGCAATTTTGGATGCCTCCTGGGGGCCGTTTTGGATCCGTTTGGGCCTCTTTGAGGCTTCGTGGGGCCTCTCGGGGGCTACTTGAGCTCTTTTTGGGGCCTCTTGGGGCATCCAAATGCCTCTTGGGGCGGAAGGCTCGAATTGTCGGTTCGTGTTCCCCCTCTTGGGGCCGTCTTGGGGCCCTCTTGGGCGCCTCCTTGGGCCGTCTTGGGGCGCTGTTGGGCCGTCTTGGGATTCTCTTACGTCGTCGTGGCCCTCTCTTTGGGTGCCTCTTGGGCCGTCTTGAGCTGATTTCTGGGGCCCCGTAGGCTGTCTTGGACCGTCGGTAGCACGAATAAGCGAAAACACGAGAAACCTTCAAAATCTTGTCGAACACACGTACTTTGTTTCGCCTCCTGAGGGCCTCGTGGGAGTCCTGTTGAAGGCATCTTGGCCGTCTTGGGGCCCTCTCAGGATGTCCTCAAGCCATGTTGGACCAATTTTGAAACGTTCTTGTGCGGTCTCGGGATCTCTTGGAGCGCTCCTGGGCCATCTTGGCGCCCTCTTGGACTTCTCTCGGCCCCTCCAGTCGCACTTGTTCGGCCCCTTTGACGTTTTTTGGCGCCCCCCGCCAGGCCCGAAAAGGCGGGAAACGGCCGCCAGGCAGTGCGGCCCCAAAGCCCCCGACAAGTTAACACACATTTATACGACGCCGTCCTCGTTGAGGAAGTGGTTTTCGCTAAATGAATGTAAATTTGAGGCCCACTTGGGGCCGTCTTGGAGCTCTCTGTGGGCATCTTGGGCGCTTCTAAGGCCGTCTTGGGGTTCTCTTGGGCCGTCTTGGGGCCCTCTTGCGGCCCTCTTGGGCCGTCTCGGGGCGGTCTTGGGGGCCCCTCGAGACGTCGCGAAGCGCTGGAGGCTCGAAAAGACGAGACCTTCGAAAACACATACAGACCTTAGGGTAATCATTGGTTTTTGCCTCTTGCGGCCATCTGGGGAGCGCTCGGCGAACCCTCTTTGGCCGTCTGGGCGCATCTTGAAACGGAAGGCTCGAATTGCCCTTTCGGGCCATGGGGCCGTCTGGGGCCCCTCTGGGGGCCGTCTTGGGGTTCCCTTGGGCCGTCTTGGGACCCTCTTGGGGGCCTCTTGGGCCATCTTGTGGCGATCTTGGGGGCCTCTTGGGACGTCGTGGAGCGTCGGAAGCTCCAAAGTAGAGAATCCCAGAAACATTGAAAAACCAAAACAAAATCTATGGTTTTTGGTTCTTGGAGCCCTCTGGGGAGCGCTCGTCGAGTTGTCTTGGGCCGTCTTGAAGCTATCTGGGGCTGCCTGGAGGCCCCGCGAGACATCTGGGAGCCTTCTGGTATCTCTGTGACGCCAATTCAGGCCGTCTGGGCGGGTCTCAGGCCGCTGGAGAGAGCGCCAAGGGAGCCCGGAGTCCCCATGGCCCATGGCGAATCGGGGCAGCTGGGAGAAGGCCCCCGACCCTGTACCCTGATCTCTCTCTCTATATATATATGTATATATATACACATATATACAGATGATTATATAAATATGCACAGCCATCCGTACACATATATGTATATATATGTATATATACATGTTCACACATATGTATATCGATCGGCATATAGCTATACAGCTATATGTATATATACACATACATATATAGAGAGAGAATCTACACATCTATATATATATATATGTATATCGGTAGATAGATATTACACAACCCACCACCGTGCCTCTGGGCACGGAATGGGCGTGCCCTCAGGTCCTTTGCCGAATCCCTGAAGCCCCAGTCCTCAGTCCTGACAAGTCTTCTCACGGGCCTGGACCCCAGATTCCAGAATCCACTGGGGCTTATCGCGTGCCCCCTGGGCTCCCCCTCGCCTTCCCGCGTGACTTTTTCGGGCCCAAGAGGGCCCCAAGACGGGCCAAGAGGGCCGCAAGAGGCCCACGGTCCAAGAGGGCCCCCGAGTCGTCGAACGATCGCTCCAAGACGCTCAAGATGGCCCAAGAGGCCTCCAAGACGCCCCAAGAGGCCTCCAAGAAGGAACAATGATAGATTTCCCCACGGTGTTTGAAGGTTTTTGGCTCTCTCGCCTTTTCGGCTTCCCGACGCTCCAAGATGGCCCAAGACGGCCCAAGAGGCGCCCAAGATGGCCCAAGGGGATCCCAAGACGGCCCCCAAAGGGGCCCAATAGAGGAAAATCCTAGCCTTCCGCCCCAGGAGGCCCGCAGGAGGCCCCCAGAGGCGCCCAGAAGGCGCTGGAAGATCTTGGACAGCGAAATCATGCACGAACGCGTGCCATAGCCGTACCCATTCTCACACTCCTCCTCCCCATTATCACACTCCTCCCCATCATCCTACTCTTCGTCGTCAAGATCATCAGCATGATCATAAACATCATCAACAACATCATTTTGGGCATGCTTGGTCACATGATGATGGCCATGCCGTCACGTCAAACTCGCGTACTATCCTCAATTATGATCATCCTCCTGCTCTTGCTCCTGCTCCTGCTCCTTCTCCTCCTCATCATCATCGTTATCATCAACACCATCATCACCATCATTATCCTCATCCTCATCCGCATATGTATCATCATATTCATCATCACTCCCATCACTATCAACAACACCACAACACTCATCGTGCACGTCGTCACTGTAATCGTATCGTCACCATCGTCATCGTCATCGTCATCATCATCATCATCACCACCATCATCGTCATCACCACAACCACCACCATCACCATCACCATCGTCATCGCCATCACCATCACCATCGCCACCACCACCACCATCATCATCATCACCACCATCAGCATCAGCATCAGCATCAGCAGCATGATCATCATCACCAGCATCATCATCCTCATCCTCTCTTGATCATCACCCTCATTATCTTCGTTATCCTCATACTCATCCTTGTCCTCATCCTCATCCTCGTTATCATCCTTATCCTCGTCATCCTCATCATCCACATCATCCTCATCATCCACATCATCACAAGAATGAATATCAATATTGTCATCGTCGTCGTCGTCGGCCCAATGTTCCCAAAGAGGCCTCCAGGAACACCTGGCCGACTGCGCGCCTCGGCGCCTCTTGCAGGCGCTTGAATGAGTGGGGGGTAAGGGTTCCTGAATTTTTGTTCAAAGGTCCTCTGGGATGCCCTCTTCTGTTGTTTCGGGAACCCATTGGCTGTCTGGAGGGCATCTGCAGGCCCGAGAGGCCGGCCCATCAATAGCGAACAGGCGAGTTCTTCAGAACCTGTAATTCTCCAGTTGTGATTGAATGATTTAGACGTCCGGTTGGACTCCTAGAAGCCTCATATACGTTAATACATATCACGACATATCGACACATACATCGATGTGCAACTCCATGTGCCTGTTCCGATATGCCTCCACTCGTGAAATGACTTGTGTCCAATGCGCATCAGAGATTATATCAATGCCCCACCAACGTCATTGTCGCCTGAAAGGTGGCCTTATCGGTATGTGTCCAACTTCCTGGTTCGGACCGCATCGCCGTTGCACCGCCGATGCACCAACGACGCTGTGAGACGGAGAACAAGGGACTCGGGATCGCACCCAATCGCCGATGCACCGGCGATACTTGGCGACCCTCCGAACCCATCTGCTTTAAGCACGTCTGGGAGACCTGGAGATCTGCATGACGGAAACGGGTGCTGGAGGAAATGAGGTCGTGGAAGTTTTCCGCCGTTCCCCCCCCCTGTTCTGTTCTGTCTGTTCAGCTGCTATGATGACCCCACTGAGGGCAACAGCTCCCGACACCACTCGACCGACTATACACTGCTCTGTGCAACTGTCGAAAAAGAGAAAGAGCAGACAGAAAAGACAGACAGATAAAGAGGAACAAAGAAAACGAGCAAGAGAGCATCCATGTTCCTCCCCTCGCCAACGTTCTTGTTCCTCCCCCCTCCTCGTCCATGTTCCTCCCCTCCTCCCCCCTCCCTGCCTCCTCCTCCCCCGCCCCCCCTCTCACCATCGTCAAGTCGGGCATGTCCTCCTATAGGCGGATTTTAGGCGAAAAATGAGAAATAGTAAAACAACGCTCCAGAACAGTCAAAACAAATAATTCAAGCATCGTCCCCAGACTTTTAAATCCATACTATCTTTTGATACTCCTCCTGTGAAGGCACAGGCCCGACTTAACACCAACGGCTCGGGACAAAACAAGGCGGAGGAGGGCGGAGGAGGAGGAGTAGCCAGGAGAAGGAAAGAGGTAGGTGGAGGAGGGAGGGAGGAGGAGCAGGAGCAGGAGGAGGAGCAGGAGGAGGAGGAGGAGGAGGAAGAGGAGGGCGGGAGGGAGGGAGGGAGGGGAGGGAGCGAGGGATTTTCAATTACTTCTCAATCATTTTTCCTGGCGGACCTGCCTCTCAATGATCTGTTCTCTGGCCGCTCACGGGGCCGGCCCACGGGCCAAGGACCGCCCCCCAAAAAGGGGACCCAGGACGGAGAGCCTGTCCAGGGAAATCAGAAGAATAACGAAGCTGCATGCTTGCACACATCAAAGGCGCCCAGGGACATACACAGACACAACATCCAAATACATGCCCACAGGTCCCAGGATTCACCATCTCTTCCCATATGTTCTAGGTTCTCGTCTTCCCCCCAGTTCCCATGTTTTCCAATATTTTCTGGGGAATCGACGATGAATTGTGTCAGTGTGTTTTTCCCTCCTGATAGAAGAACAACCACCGCATACACATATAAACTTGAGGAGGTCCGCGCGGATTTCTTGGATCTGCACTGGGCTCCCTCCCTGGCGCGCCGGGCGCGCCAGGGGGCGGCGCCAGAGGCGCTGCCTTGGGGAGCCCCAGCGCCGATCCGAGAAACCCGCGAGGAGCGTCGAATAAAAATACTATTGCTTGTCCCTTTGTTGCGTCCTCGAATCAGGACCAGTGTCCTTCATGGCGACAGTTCGCGCCAAGCATGGGGCCTGCTCCCCGGCGGTGCCTGCACCCACATGCCGGGGGCATCGGGCACTGCCGGGAGGGCCCTCCTGGCTGCGCGGGCCCGCCGAGCCTACCTAACCTGCAGGCCCGCAGCGCTCCCAAAGGAAGGGGTACGAGGCGTACCAGGCGCCGCCTGGTGCAGCGCCTGCACGGAGCGCCCAGGCTTTTGTTGATGCCGTGTGTTTGCATTCGATCCTTCCCCTTCTTCTCCTCATCGTGTAGACTGGAGGCGGCCGGGGGGTCTGAGCTGGATGAGCCAAGAAAGCATAAGCCAAGAGGGGGGGCATGATGGCAAATTCGCTCCAAATCGGTCCCCAGACCCATCCCAGGGTGGAGACTGGCAAGTTTTTCAAGCCGGGTTCAGCCGTGGCGACGAGGGGCCCCGTCCCACCCCTTTCCTGCTGGCCAGAACCAGTGCTGGGCCACCTCGGCCCCCTGGCCGGCTCCATCTTGGAGGCCTCCCACATGGGGTCGGAGGATCGCGCCGCATCGCCCATGCATCGGCAACGTCGGCGATGCATCGGCGACGTCGGCGTGGAGAGAATCGGCTTCCACATCGCGCCGTTTTGACGACGCATCGACGATGCGGCGCGATGTGCAGATGAGCGGTGGCGTCCACCTACGACGCTGGTGTCCGAGACATCTTTCAGTAGTCCTCGGGCCTACTCGGGGGCGGCCAAGAGGGGAGCGTCCAAGAGGAGGGGGGCGCAAATCATGGCCGGCGGCACGTGCGCGGCCCAGGGGTGGGGGCCGGGGACGTATGGGAATAAGAAGAGGCGCCATGAATCATGGCCCCGCCATGATATCCATCCTCCCCTAGCCATCACCCCCCTCTTGGCCGCCCCCGACCTATGCTGGGGTGCCCGTATCCTAGCGGTGCCCGGGCCGCTCCTGCAGGGTAGCCTCGTGCGAGGCTCCTGGAAGCAGCCTCGGGGTGGCCTCATTCTGGCCGGGTGCTGCCGCAGGTGTTCCTGGCCCAAGGCAGCGAACAAGACATTACCCCAACGCCGATCCCAAACATGGATGCAACATATTCGGCTACACACAAGAATGACCCTGGGTAAGATTGACCTTTTGTGGCAGCGAAGCGATGACACATGTTTTCTTTGAGCCACAAATGGTTCCAAAATTCACCTGTCAACGTCCTCTGACCTGACGTTCTCGAGGCTATGCTCAAGATCCCCTCGGTGAAACACAAAACGCTAAACCTGTTCACGATAAGCGCTCAACTTCCACACTCGTCTGAATTTTTTCAAAGTTTAGCACGTAAAGGACGGTTCGAAATCACTGATGGATTCCGTCCCACACGGAGACCTCTTGGTCGCCGTCCGTCGCTAACTGAAAGTGAAGATGGCAGAGGACGGGAGGACAAGAACACAGCGGAGAAACAGACAGGGCACTACTGAAATGTATGGACAACGGAAGCAGAGGGATGGAGAGAGGAGGATGAGGAAGGGTCGGGAGGTACCACCTCACCACCACCACCACCGGCCTGGTCCAGGGACGTGAAGTCGATCCAACAACTGGTTGATCCTGGGACAGCTGCTGTCGGGAGGCTGATTGAGATCGTCCTTTCAACTCGGGGGCTGCTCGCCGTCGTTCGACTTCGTTCTGCTCGTCCACTAGAATTAACCTTCCACTCGTCATGAGATCGAATAGTGCAGAATTCCCGCGGGTGACATCCTCTTTTGTCAGGGTATATACGGGCATGCGGCTGTGGGGCAGCCAGCGGACATGTCCGCTGGGTCTCTCGAGGCTCTCTGAGATAATGGCAAGATCGATGGCCGTGCGTCGGTCTCTGGCACTCGCCGAAACTTCTTTATGCATAGTATCATGTATACTCTTTGCGTCCACAACATGTATCTGACGCTCGCGCCCCTGTAACGAACAGTCCCTTCGAAGTACTGTTGTAAGGGGTCCGGAGGCACTGTGTCAATCGGGGACATCCACGTCGTGAGACACTACGTCTCGATACAACATCTGCAGAAACTCAACCTCTGAAACGGCAGCCAACAAGGCCTGCGTCTCTCCAGCTAAAGTGGAAGGGGCTTTGCGGCGGAGCTTTCAACTTTTCCACCCTAAAATAGACGCGTTGATAGAGCAGTTGTCCAGGACGGATTTGTCGGCAGTAAGCGCCAGCCACGCGCCTTGCGCGGGGTCTGCCGGCATATCTCGCTCATCTAACATGTCTTCGGGAGCGCCGACGCCACCGGCATCGGAGGACGAAATGAAAGACATCTTCTCCGGATGGAGGCGCCGCGCTGTGGGCCCGCGAGATGTAGTGGCTCGGAGGTGCCGGGCAAGCTTGTTCGCCGTGTGGCAACGTCCCCAACTGTAGCATGTCTGAGCTTGCTTGCTAGAATACTGTCCGCGCCAGCAACCTCTGGCCGGGATTCGCGCCCAACCCGATTGAACTTGAAAATCAGGGAACGAAAAGCTTTGAATTCAGCGGACTCCAGCGGAAGGTCCTTGTTACTAAGTCTTCCCTTCTCCAAAGCTAGAGGCTTTATTTCTTCGAATAGGTACTTTTCTTGATCTGTCGTGGTCTTCTCCTTCCCCGGGGTAAGCCTCCGCCCCGCGAACTCCGCCGGGCCGGCGCGGGCATCCCTGTACTGCCCAAAACGAGAACGTCCCTCAAGCGCGCGCCTAAGCCATTTATCTACGCGCCCGATCATGAAGTCGTCGACTTCGAGGAGGATCACACTTGCCAGGCGCCCATTCGAATCGTATTTTACCCGCCAGCAGGGCTCCAAGAGAGTCCGAGCAAAGCCCTGGACCGTTAGAAACTGCGCCGCGGTCCTTCGCCAGGCGACTGGAGCGTCGCCCAACCCATGCACGTGAACCAAAAACTTAATTAAGGGCCCAGGCTCCACGGGCGCTCCTTCACAAGGTTCTACAAATATATATAAATATATATATATATATATATATATATATATATATAACCCGTCGGCCAAAAATCTCGTCGCTTTGGCAGAAGGTATTCTCGGCGTCCGCGATGCCGACCTGGGGCCCGAGATTGGTTCATGGCAACCTGGAGAAACATCATGATGGAGGACGTGTGGGGAGCTGGGGAATAAACTTCTAGGGCGCCGGAATCTGGGCCCCGGTGCCCGCGCGCACGCCGGCGTGACCTCGCGGTGGGTTTCGCAAACGCTCCCTCGGCAAGCTTCCACGGCGGACCATCCGGATCGAGATGATCCGATCGGGGCAGGCCTGACGGACCACTTGCGCCCCGCGCGGGAGGAATGAGTTCGATGGCTCCGGTCGCGCCCATGGGCCCCCATTCGGCCCTATCGGAGACGTCGAATGCAGCTCTTTCCGAGGGGGTCGGATTCTTCAGCGACACTTCTCCCCCCCTGCTGGCAGCAAAGACCCCGCCCCCCTCCGGGCAGGGGCCCCGGGCAGGACAGACCATCACTCCGCCTGAATGGGAAGGGGGAGCCCAGAAGTCTTCACTGGATCTCTCTTCCTGACGCAGAGGGGGCCTGCTGCGGGCCCGACCCCGGGCCTCGATGTTCGCCACCCTCTCGGACACATCTCGGCTGACCTCTCGGCTGGAGGAGATCCTTGCCCCCGGGGGGGGTCAGACCTGGGGGGGGGGAGGGGGGGGCGCGCCTTTGGCTCCTCGGGGGGCCCTCCACCGGGCGACGACGCGGCCGGCCCCTTCACCCCCGCGGGGTCTGGCTCCTCAGTCCGGAGGCGCTTCAGCTCCGGAGGGCTGCTCAGAGCTCGCGTCCTCAGGATGCACAAAGGAACGTTCTGGCAGATGCCCAACTGTTCCAGACCTCGAGCAAACCTGGCTCCGAATTCGGGCCCCCCATCAGGCGCCGGGAAGTGCGGGGCACCCAGAGGCCTCGGCCATGATCTCACGAACTCTGACCGCACTGACTGAGCCTGGGCATTCGGCAGCCGCGCGACGATCTGCAAGTTCGACCAGTGGTCGACTATATTGATGAAGGGGTGCGTGATCCCCTGAAAGTCGAGGTAAAACAGAGCGGTGCCGACGATGTGATTGAAGCGAAAGGCCCTGGGCAGGGCGACCCGTCGGCGCGCGCCTGCACGGGGTCATTCCGCGCATTCGGAACGGGCAGCCTTAGACCTCACCCAAAGAAGAGGGTGCCGCTTCACGCCCCCCGCTCGGGGAACTCTCAGATTTTTTCTCTGGTCCGGGTGGCCCGTATTCACGTGGAGCTTGAAGATCAACCTTTTTTCGTCCTCCGAGGGCTCTTTGTCTTCAACCCCCTGGCTCCCTGGCCTGGAGGGTCTCGCCTCCTGCTCGTCGCCGCCCCCGTCCGAGACTTCCCCCTCTCCAATCTCCTCCTCGTGGGGGGAGACCAAGTCCTCTCGAGCAGGGGGTCCTTCCGGGTAGTCCCCCTCCGAGATCTCGGCCCAGGTGGCCTTCTCCTAGCCCGCGGCCCCGCTCCGAACTTCCGCCGCGGCCCCACTCGCAAATCTGGCGAATTCCGAGGTGTGTCTGGCCGCGCGCGACGCGTAGAACCCCCCTTCCAGGATGGCGTGACGGCGGTCGCCAGCGCGCAGCCTTTCGTCGAGACGCCGAGCGAAGCGGGGTTCACTGGTCAGGATCCTGGCGGGTTTCTTGGGGAGTTCACCCCCTCTAATGCGCGGGTCGAATCTTTCGGGCTCCCGGCATGCTAGCAATGCAAGTAACTGAAGTGCCCCGCGAGGATGCATGCAAGGGATGTTCAAAAGCGAGCGCTCCCCCGCGGTCAATCTGGCACTGGGCAACTTCCATGCGAAATATTAAGTCCCTTAGTCTGGCTCTCATGCTTGCGGCCCGCTCTTGAGGATCCGCTTGATTCTTGTTCGCGCGATTGATCGCAGAGAACATTTTACATTCCAAACACAGCCAGATCATACATATCGAACCTTCTCGATTTGGCCCCGCAGTCGATCGACTTCGGAGGTCTTAGGCGCGCCCCAACCTGTCCGAAGATCCCAGCTGGGATGGCCCCCCCCCATCTCAACCCCTAACCTGGACAGTTCTAGAGCCATGCGGGGAGGAGAGAATATTTTCATGAAGACGGTTTTTCCTTTTTCTGGCGCGGGGGGGCTCCGAACGGGTTCATCTGCTTTTCCAGGGCCCTCCTCGCGGCTCCACTGAGAGCCACTTCGCGATCGTCGTTCCAGAGATCCCCGCCCAGCCAGCCCCCGCGAACCTCGCAGTCCGCGCATCGGGGGCCCCTGGAGGAGCAAGCGTTCAACCCTGACATGGCCCGCCCCCGGACTCCGACTTTCCTCGTGCCCCGCGGTCTGGGGGCCCACGAAGAAGGGGGAGGAGGAGGCAGTGTGCTACCACCCGGGCTGCAGGAGTGCTCGGGGACCCTGTTTTTTCCTTCGCTACGGAATGCGCCTCGACGCAGGCGAGTGAGACAGTATGGATGTCTAGGGCGTCTGACCCTAGAACTCGTGGAGCACCTCCCACTGGGTGGTCTCGTTCTCGAACCCCCCCTCGGGAATCGGGGCAACCCCTGGGACAGGTGGCCCGCGATGCTGCTCGGAGTGGTGGTCGTCGTCTGAGCATCGGGGCCGGAGCCCTGTCCCGAGCCGCTGCTCTGAGATGGGTCGCCCGCCGCCAGGCCTGCGCCGGCTGCCTGATCGGCGCGATGAGCCAGGGCTGCCACGGCGGTCCCGATCTGGAGCGTCACGTGGGTCAGCTGCGCCACCGCCGTCTCGACTGCGTTGAGCGTCGTGGCCCTTGGTGAATGCTCTCCTGGATGCCGTCGATCGTCTCGCCGAAACCCTCCAGAGCCCCCAACAGCTCCCGGATGGTGATGACCTGCTGGTAGATCTGCTGGAGGTCCTCCTGGACCTGCGTGGGCTGCTCCAGGGCCGACAGGATGCGGGCCGCCATCTCGTCGAGTGTCTTCTGCGCGTTCCCGAGCGCCTGGATCCCCTGCAGGATGTTGTGGAGCTGCCACAGGAGAGACTGCAGCAGGGCTGACAAGCCATTCACGGTGTTCAAGGCTGCTCCACCTGCCTTGAACCCTGGATCGTTCTTCAGGAACTCGACCGTGGCGGTTGCAGCACGCGCTGCCGACCTGGCAGCCTCCGCGGCACTCGGGGCGTCGGGGTCTCGTCGACACCGAGGCTCCCGCCCGATCTTCTCCCCGCACAAGCCGCACTTCGTTCCCGATCCGTGCTGCTTGCCGTAGGTCTGCAGGTACTCGTCGGGATGACTGCGCTGGTTTCGACTCGCCGGCAGCGAAGGCGGGGGCTCCTTGGGCGGCTGGAGTGGAGGAGGCTTCGCTGGAACATCTCCGTTCATTGGGGTAAGTGACGGAGCTGCCCCTGGTGCGGGCCTCGGAATTGCCCCCAACGCACTGGATGCTGGCGCTGCGCCTCTGGGGAATGCTGAGCGAATTTCCGAGGATGGGCCGCTGCTCGGAAAGGCCGAACCCATGTTGACGTCGGCCGCCCTGGGAAATAACCGTGGCGCGCTGCCGTGCTGCGGCGAAGGGCTGGGGGCGGCCCCTGCTAATGGGGGGGACCCCGGGCGCGCCAGCGACTCCGCGGGGCCCGCGGCCGAGGATCTCCCCGCGCTGCGCTCGGCCACAGCGGCGGCTGCGGGATCCACCGCGGCTTCTGAGTTGCTCGACTCGATGACCTCCTGGCCGCGATGCTGCGCCAGGAACTCGCGAGCGGCGTTCGTGGGCTCCTTCTTCTTGCCGCCTGCTGCGGCGGATGCCGGCAGCGTCGCCATAACCGTAGCGAGCAAGAGTCTCATCAGGTCGACTTCGGGGGCCGCGGTGTCTCAGGACCCGCAGGGCGGATGCTGAAAGCGTTCGTGGAATCGCACAAAACCTCGAGCCAAAAACTACGGAACGAAAGGCTCGGTAGCTGTGTCCCCTGATTCCCCCCTGCGACGCTGGTTGGAACTGTCCTTTCTCCGGGCGCTTCGTCGGCCTCACCTTAGACGCCCCCCGAGATCCTGGGCCCTGGGCCGCGCCTGGATCAGGGCGCCGAGCCTGCGACCTGGGAGCTCTGGAGAGGGAGGGCTTCTTAATGAAGGGGGCCCGGTTGATGATCGTCACGAGATGCCCCGATGCAGCCAAGCTGACCGACAGGATGATGACGATGCGAGTGATGCACCCCTCGAGGCCCCCAGACTCCGACGTGGAGGGCGGGCTGCTGCCGCCCGGCAGGAAAGAAGACGCGGACGAAAAGGATGCCGCTTCAGCGCTGACTCTGGCATCTGCGCGCCGTGCTCCAACAGACAGACGACGTCAACCACCCTGTGTCCTGGGCCCAGCCTGGCGAGACTGAGCTGCTGCCCCAAGGTCCCCCTAGTCAGTGCATTGCGTGGAAGATCGATCACGCAGGGCAAAAAATCAAGAAGACTCACGCCCGGGACGCGCGGCACTTTCTCCGGCAGCACCGTCGCCTCGATGATCCCCGAGACTCCGCCCAAAGTGAACGGAAAAAGAGAGGCGCTGATCACGACGGCGGCTCCGCCTGCTCCGCGCGCTGACTTGTTCGGCCGAGGATGATCGCATATGTCGCCCCCTGGGCTGCGAGAGCTCGCGCCTCCCTGTCGAGGGCATGCGCCCCGACTAGGTCGCGTCCGGCGCCGGGATATCCACCAGCGCCTGGGTGGCCGCACTCGTCAAAAACGCAGTGCTGCCGGCGATCTCACGCTCCGCGCCCTGCCGGGAGGTCATCGCCAGCATGTCGGAGACTCCGACACAGCCGTCGAACATGTAGAAGGCTGGCCTCTGACGGTCTTGCTTCGGGCACTCGCCGCCCCGGCGCCCCATCTCGTTGCAGATCCTGCGACGGGTCACCTTGATCAGCAGCTCCTTGGTGGGGCGGCCCTTGCCGCGACCTCCGCGGCCGCGCCCGCGCGAGCCCCCCTGGCCGCCCTTGCCCGCGGGGGCGCCTCGACCGCCAGCGCGCCCCCGAGTGCCGTGGAACTCTCTGTCCTTGCGAGCAGCCGCCTTCAGCTCATTGTTCAGCTTCCAGGCCCCGGTGTTCGGGCGGCTCTCGATCATCGCCGGGGCCCCCTCGACGTGATCCTCGGGCGCGTCGAAGTCGTCGATCTCGGCGAGGAGGGCCGTCTCGTCGTCGGGGGGCGCGGACTGCGAATCCTCGAGCTCTCCGTCGAAATACTCGCCCTCTGCCTCGACCTGGTCGACGCCCTTTGACCGACCGGAGGGGGGGTGGGGGCTGAAACGCACGAGGCTGCTCGTGGGGCCCGGGGCCGAGGCCCTCGCTGGAGGAGGCCAACATCGCCGAGCCTGGCTTGCCAGGCAGTAGTCGTTCTGACCCGCCAGCGTCCATCTGTCGAAGAGCCCAGGACACGCTCTCGTAGTCCAACTGGCCGCGGGTCAACGTTTTCAAATTCTGATATCCCTGTGCAGAGAGGGCCGCCCTTTCTTCTAGAAGAGGGCCCCTGAGCTTGGAGCTCATGCAGAGGTCGCGCCCCTCCGCATCAGACAACTGTGCTTCTCGCCGGCCGACGAACTGCGCGCGGCTTTCCTTGGTCTCTCGATTAGCCTCGTAAAAAGCTCGTCTATCTGCTCTTCTCAGCTCATCGTTATCCTTCTCTCCTGCCATCGTGTCCATACGTGCGAGCAGAGTGCTCAACCAATCACTCGATGTCAACACCTGGTCAGGAATGTTCTCGAACTTGGCTTGAAACACCGGTCGAACAACTTCAGAAACCTCTCTGATCGTCTATGCACGGCCACGTCGGTGCTGGAGTTCCATATGAGGATCGCTCGCTTCCATTGTCTGTAGAACGACCAGCCGGGCCACGCCGGGGGATCTAAGTAGTCACCTTCTGACCACGATGCTGATGATGTCCAATCCCCCTGGTTCCAGCTTCTGCCAGACCAGGTGCCGCCTTGCCAGTCGCTCTGCCACTGTCTCATCTGGAGATTTGCTGTCCTGCCAAGGATCTGTCTTCTCTCATGGGTCGGAGGCCGCTGCGCCGTCAGATCCCTTCCCCTGAAACAGAATCTCCTGGACGATGCTTCGGATCATGTCACGCAGGGCCTCAGGGCTCGTCACTGCTAGGGGACCGCTGGAGCTGCCGGCTGCGGCAGCAGGAGGGGCCTCGTCCTCCGCGGTACGTGTGGCCATCATGGCAATCTCTTCTTCTCCGGGCATGCTTGTGCCGTGGACCACGCAGTCGCGCTCGTAGTCGAGAGCGAGGTCCGCCGCGGAGCGCGAGCGCCTCTGGAGCCACGGCGGTCACGCCGCCGGCTCGGAGGCACCGCTGGCCATGCGGCGGGACCCCGCTCCGCTACCAACTGTGGCAGCGAAGCGATGACAAATGTTTTGCCTTGAGCCACAAAGGGTTCCGAAATTCAACTGTCAACGTCCTCTGACCTGACGTTCTTGAGGCTATGCTCAAGATCCCCTCGGTGAAACACAAAACGCAAAACCTGTTCACGATAAGTGCTAAACTTCCACACTTTGGTGCGCGGCTTCTCGGGGGCCGCGGAGGGATCAAACCCAAGCGCGCAAGACGCTACTATCGCATCGCGTTCGGCGATCGGGGAACCCCAATGGGCCCGCACCAAAGGTCACTCCGGCGAAGGGTCAGGGTCACTCTTACGTCTAGTCGAAACATCACTAGCGATCTCATCGACAAAGCGGGTAGAGGTCTCGGAACATGCATTCCTTACGACCTGGCAAGCAGCTCATGCTGAAGAATACGTAGCACCCCGCAATTGCGGATAAGAGTGAGGGGGCGGGCGCGTGCGACGCGGGCGTCGTCGAGCTGGCGGACCTCGTGGCCCCCACCTTCCCTGTCGATGGCGCTTTTCTCCTCCTCCTCCTCCTCCTCATCATCATCATCATCATCATCCTGCTCCTCCTCCTCCTCCTCCTCCTCTTCCTCGTCCTCGTCCTCATCGTCATCGTCATCCTCCTCCTCCACCTCGTCCTCCTCCTCCTCCTCTTTCCTCGTCCTCCCTCTCCCCCCCTCGTCCTTTCATCATCGTCCTCCCTTTGTCGTCCTCCCCCTCATCGGCCTCCATCATCGTCCTCCCATTGTCGTCCATCATCATCCTCCTCCCCCTCCTCGTCCTCCTCCTCCCCCTCCTCCCCCTCCTCCTTCCACTCCTCCCCCTCGGCATTGGTTTGTTCAGTGAACGTGGTTTGGGTCGCGGGTGGGTCGCGGGCTCTCCACCTCCACCCGGAAGGAATGCAAAAGCAGCCCGCCGCAGGCGCCAACAAAAATCGGTTTGTACACTGAACGTGGTGTGGGTCGCGAGTGGGCCGCGGGTTCTCCACCGGGAGCGAATGCAAAAGATGCCCGCCGCATGCGCCGAAAAATTGGTTTGTACCCTGAACGTGGTCGTGGGTGGGCCGCGGGCACTCCACTTGAAACGACTGCAAAAGATGCCCGCCGCAGGCGCCGAAAAATGTGGTTTATACCCTGAGCGTGGTTTGGGTCGCGGGTTGGTCGCAAGTTGGTCACGGGGTGGGTCGCGGGCTCTCCACCTGGAAGGAATGCAAAAAAAGCCCGCCGCAGGCGCCGGAAATGATGGTTTGTACCTTGAACGTGGTTTGGGTGGAAAGTGGGTCGCGGGTAGGTCGCGGGGTGGGTCGCGGGTGGGTCGCGGGTGGGTCGCGGGTGGGTCGGGGGGTCGCGGGGTGGGCCGCGGGCGGGTCGCGGGGTGGGCCGCGGGCGGGTCGCGGGGTGGATCGCGGGGTGGGTCGCGGGGTGGGTCGCGGGGCGGGTCGCGGGTGGGTCGCGGGTGGGTCGCGGGTGGGTCGCGGGGTGGGTCGCGAGTTGGGTCGCGGGTGGGTCGCGGGGCGGGTTGCGGGTGGGACGACGACAACAAACAACAACAAACAACAAGAATCTGCACCGCGGAATTCCACTTCAGCCACGCACCCAGGGACAGTGAATGACCGTTCGCCCCCCTCACTCTGATTTGGATTGGCCTTGCATAAGCATATAAACTGGCGAGAGCACACGCGGATTTCTTGGATTGGCGCTGGACCCCCCTGGCGGCGACTCCGCGCCGAACTAAGAAATCCGTGCGGAGCTCCGAAAATGATGTTTATGCAATGTTTGTCCATCTAAGGTTGGACGCCCGAATTATCCAGGATAGCTGTGTTCTGGGGAGACTCCGGTATTGGCTCCTGAGGGACGAATCTGTACTTACCCCTGACTGCCTCCAGCGCTGATGATTCGGGAGGGTTGGACGCCCGAACTATCCGGGAAAAATGCGAACCGGGGTAACTCCAGTTTGGGCCCTGGGGGCGCGTATCTGTAGTTACCCCTGACCGCCCAAAGCCATGATGACTCGGGGCTCTGATAAGGTCTAGGGCAAGCCTACGCTCGATAGATCCACGAAGCGACATCGGGTCCGATACAGATCGTATCGCCGGCGAATCGTCTCGAAGCAAACCGATATCGCATCGCCGTGCTCCACTCCGGCGGGCCCCTGCCGAGGCCGTGGCCGGCGAACCGAGCTGGATCGAATCGCGTCGAAACCGCGGGCTTAGCCCGCACACAACACGCAACACACAACACACAACACGCAACACACAACACGCAACACGCAACACGCAACACGCACACGCAACACGCACACGCGCACGCGCACGCGCACGCACGCGCACGCGCACGCACGCGCACGCGCACGCACGCGCACGCGCACGCGCACACGCGCACACGCGCACACGCGCACACGCGCACACGCGCTCACGCGCACACGCGCACACGCGCACACGCGCACACGCGCACACGCGCACACGCGCACACGCGCATACGCAGTGTTTTTTCCACAAACACAGACACTGTGCTTTCATTCCACAGACTCTCCGCAGATAAATGCGGGGGCAGCGATGGCTGCAGAAAAGGGGCCCTGAAGGGCCTCCAAAGGGGCCCTGAAGGACCCCAAAAGGGGCCTTTAGGGCCCGACACGGGCACCTTTCTCCCTCCCCCCCATCGATCGCCCCCCCCCCCTGAGTTCGCGTCCAACGCGATTCTAGTCCCATCGAGCCACTCCGCGCCTTTCTGGAGCCCCCTCTGGGACCCCTTGGGGCCCTCGCCGAGGGGCGCTCCGCGTGCACGTGGCGGCGCTCCCCGGGGAGTCCTGGGCCCAGACGTGCGATGTCTCCTGACTTTTTTCGAGTGCGCGGTCCTGGCGAGGCCCTACGGCAGGTTCGCGTCGTGTCGACCCCAGCGATGGTTTCTGTCACCTCGGGGATCGTTCAACCTTGAACGATCGGCCCTTTCCGAGACGTGCGATCCTTCAACATCGACCGATTCTGGGTCGCCGGCGGCGTTCAACCTTGAACGCCCGCGCTGGGGTCGCCGCGAGTCGACACGACGCGAACCTACCGTACCCTTTCTTTGACGGCCCCGCGGCCCGGCAAGGGCCCTCGGCTGCCGAACACGGCGGACAAGACCCTCCTCCGTGACTCTGTCTGAGGCGCGACGTACGTTTGGGTGGGGGCCGCCCTGGGCGAAGGGGCACCTTTTGGCAAAACCCCGATCAGGGCAGCCTCTGAGAGAGGCTCCTGGAATTGGCACGCTAGAGAAGCAACAAAAAGGTATAAACATAAACTTTCGGCGGTCCGCGTGGATTTCTTGGATCTGAGCTGGACCCCCCTCCCTGGCGCGCGGAGCGCGCCAGGGGCGGCGCTGGAGGCGCCGCCAGGGCGCTTCAGCGCAGATCGAAGAAATCCGCGCGGAACGCCAAAACACTATGTTTGTGTGGTTTTTCTTCTCCGATGCGCCCGAGGTGGGTACGGAAAGAATGGGTGCGATGCCCAACAGCAAATGTTGCCCAAAACCGACAGCGGCCGCTGTAGGGCAGGATACCTCAGGCTGACAAAAATGGGCAACGCCATCGGCGAAGCCGGCAACAAATCGGGTTCGAAATGTGGGCAAGAGCTGCTGTCGCTCCCGCGTGAGCGGAGGGGTGTGCCCAACTGGGCGCGGGGACGACATTAGAGGAACAAAGAAGGTGTAAACATAAACTGGTTGATCGCTGGAACCTCTTCCCTGGCGCGGACCGTCAAAAGTTTATGCTTATGCAGTTTTTTGTTCTTCGAGCCATGCAAGCGCATCCACTTGGCCGTCCGCGAGAGGTGTGCCGAAATGCACGGGAAGGCGCAGGTGAACGCCGCCACCGATGGACAGTTGTAAGTGGAGCTCCCTGCGGGGCACGATCCGAGTGCAGGGTGTACCACTTGGGCGCGGGGGCGTCCTTGCGAACGCACCCCCTGGGGCCATAATTAGGTGAAGGTCCCCATGCGGCCACGATCCGCGTGAGGGGTGTGCCGAAATGGGCGGGGGGGGGGCGGCATGCGAGTCTCCCCCCTGCATGGCCCGGATCCGCGCTGGAGACTCCCCTGCATGCGTGAATTTCTCAGATCCGCGCTGGCCCCCCCTGCATTGCGCGCGGAGCGCGCCAGGGGCGGCGCTGGAGGCGCCGCCAGGGGGCCCCAGCGCCGATCCGAGAAATCCGCGCGGACCTCAGAATTTTTATGTTTACGCCACCTTTTGTTCCCCTAATTCATCGTCATTTATGGGAGAAAAAACTAAAGTGTCAAACATATCACAAAATGCTCAAGAATACTCAAAAATCGTCTCCGGACTATTTTGTTTATAATTATTTTTGAAACTTCCTCCTTTAGAGGGACAGGCCCGACTTAACCATTGCTTCCGTACTCACCTCGGCCCCACACGATGGCAGGCACCACGGAGGGCCGCACGCCGTGGCGCGCGGGCGGGCTCGAGCAGCCAGGCGTCGGTGCGACCCGCCGCTCGCAGCACGGCTGCGGGGCGCGCCAGGCCTTTGCCAAGGAAACGCCGCGCACGCTCGCCAGCTCGGAGGCCTCCCTCTCTGCGCCCCTCCCTGGCCCTCCAGCCGGACCGCATCGAAAGGTGCGTACCATGAAGACGCACGACAAGGATGCGAGGGCCTTGAAGACCATGTCGACGCTTTGCGAGCGGGGCGCGGCCAGCGAAAGCGGCCAAGGATGGGCCGAAGGGGAAGGATGCAAGGGTAACCTATCGAAGAAGAGGAAGGAACGGCATAGCCATAAGCTTGTGGCGCTCCGCGCAGGATTCTTGGATCTGCGCTGGACCCCCCTCCCTGGCGCGCTCCGCGCGCCAGGGGCGGCGCCGGAGGCGCCACCGGGGGGGCCCCAGTGCGGATCCAAGGAATCCGCGCGGAGCGCCAAAAGTTTATGTTTAGATCGTTT